CTTTAAAAGCACCTCTCTCGCACCTAAAGAGGCAGGTTTTCGCCACGTCCCTTCACACCTGCAGGGTCACATGTTAGGAGGCCTTCCCTTCTGATTCGCAGAATGTGAGGTGAACACTGCATTGTTTCCAATGTAGGGAATGAATTAAACTCTTGATCATGGAGCTAGGAATAACTGTTTAACCCCTTCCCAACCTTGGACGTACCAGGTACGTCCGATAATAAATCCCCATTTACCTAATTGCAGGCGATCCCCTGCCCGGGACCTCGCAATCACATGGCCGGAATCATAAATAAATTGAAAAAAGAAATAAATTTAAAAAAAAATAATATACCGATTTAAATTTGTTCTAACTATATTTTGATATTAAAGGGACACTATAGTCACCCAGACCACTTCGGCTCAATGAAGTGGTCTGGGTGCAATGTCACCCTGTTAAAGTGCTGCAGCGCTGACCGGGCCCCCTAAAAACCTCTTGGACGCCACTTTGTGATGAGATCATCACTGCTGGGAGGAAGTGACTGCACGTCACTCCTCCCAGCTAACACACAGAGCCCGCGCGGGAGGAAGCGGAGGGAGTGAGAGTGGGAACTCTGACTCCCATCAACCTGAGCCACCACTGGACCCCAGGGAAAGTCACCCTCCTGCACCTCAAAGGTAGGAAACAGGAGGGTGAATTAAACATTGTGTTTGTATGTGTCTGTGTGTCTGTGTGTCTGTCCGTGTGTGTATGTGTGCCTGTCTGTTTGTATGTATGTGTGCCTGTCTGTGTCTGTCTGTATGTTTCTGTGTGTATGTGTCTGTCTGTGTGTATGTAGGTTTGTATGTATGTGTGTCTTGTGTGTCTGTTTGTATGTGTGTATCTGTCTGTATGTATGTCTCTTTGTATGTGTGTGTGCCTGTCTGTGTGTGTGTGTCTGTATGTGTGTGTGTATGTGTCTCTATGTATCTGTGTGTATGTGTGTCTCTATGTATGTATCTATATGTGTGTGTGTGTGTGTGTGTCGGGGAAGGGAATGGGGGGGGGGGCGGGTGGGAAGAGGGGGCCCATGGTTCAGTTTCGCACCGGGGCCCCATAGATTGTGTGTATGCCACCGATCTGAGACTTTTTCTATGTACACAAAAGGCCTATTCCTCTCAAATATTGTTCACAAATCTGTCTAAATCTGTGTTAGTGAGCACGTCTCCTTTGCCGATATAATCCATCCACCTCACAAGTGTGGCATATCAAGATGCTGATTAGACAGCATGATAATTGCACAGGTGTGCCTTAGGCTGGTCACAATAAAAGGCCTCTCTAAAATGTCCAGTATCACACAGCACAATGTCACAGATGTCACAAGTTTTGAGGGAGCGTGCAATTGGCATGCTGACTGCAGGAATGTCCACCAGAGCTGTTGCCCATGAATTGAATGTTCATTTCTCTACCATAAGCCATCTCCAAAGGCATTTCAGAGAATTTGGCACTACATCCAACGGGCCTCAAAACCGCAGACCACGTGTAACCACACCAGCCCAGGACCTCCACATCCAGCATCTTCACCTACAAGATATCTGAGACCAGCCACCCGGACAGCTGCTGCAACTGACTGGCTTCGGACCCTCTGCCCCCTCCCACCCAGAACCCTCCAAAGCAATAAAAAAAAAAACATTTATAAAAAAATAATAATAATATCACTAACTTTGGCCAGCATTTGTGATCAAGTGGCAACTACAAAAGACTGGAAATACCCCATTTTGAATACCCTGGGTTGTCTACATTTGAGAATGGTATGCCATGATGTGGTTATTTCAAATTCCTGGGCTACCATATGGTCTCAAAAGGCAATAAAGACCCAGAAAACCAATCTGGCAAACTGAAGTAACTTTTCAAAACACCATAAGACCTGTACATGGGGGTTATTTTTGTGTAAATAAATGCAAAAAACTAATAAAAACGCTTACTTTGGCCGTTTGTGACTAAGTGGCTACTAAAAAAGACTGGAAATAACCCATTTTGAATACTGTGGGTTGTCTAGTTTTACAAATGGTATGCCATGATGGGGTTAATTTTATAACATGACAGGAGGCTTCCTATTTTGCATTAACTCTCTTTACTAAACTCCATAGCAGTAAAGAAAACGTAAAGAGTAACAAAAAATCAATGAGCAGCATAGTATATATAAGGGACATGTTGCCTGTACACTTCCTCTTTCTTTACTGCTCCATCGCAGACAGGTCAGACTTTTGGCTCCCCCAGAGCCTTATACCTTTATTATACTAGTCTGTTAATTATTTCATTACTGTTTTTTACTGTATTCTCTGTGTTTTATTTTTGTGCACTATAATTTGTTATCTGGGCAGTGGGGTTTGCCTTAGTCTCATATGGGTTTGCTTCCCTCCTTCTCCATCTCTTGGCCATCCCTGGGACCCTCTGTCCTCCCCTTACTGGCTCCCCCTCACTCCCCCCTCCTGGGCTCCCTCCTCTCGGCCGCGACTGTTCACGGCACCAAACGCACCGGCCTGTTTCACCCGCGGCCAGGCTAAATTTAGTCCCCGGCTTGCGGCCTACACGCGCGGCGGCCATCTTGGATCACGTACATCGCGAGATTCACGCGGCCATCTTGCTTTACCGCGTGGATCTCATTAGGGACCCAGAGGTCACAGTCTTAGCTGGTGTGTCACCTTCTCCCTATGTGATTTTGCTGAATTAATACTTGGAGTTTTGTAATCACTGTGGTATATCCTCTACACACCCTGTGAGTACCAGGGATTACTATACCACCAACATCTACCTTACTGAGATCCCTGCAGTGCCTCCATACTGTATTCCTGTGCTTCTGTGTCTACTACAATCAACCAGAAGATTCCTGTATTAATTGGCTGGGTCAGTCAGGTCAGTGCTGCTGCCTGTATTATCTTGTGACCTGCACTTAAGGGTTCCAACCCTGTGCAACCGGGGTGAGCCCCCATTATACGTACCTAGGTACTACACTGCTTATTGGGAGACTAGCTGTTGCAGTTCTCTCTAACTGGGTGAGCCCCAGTTTTACTAAGGTCACCAACTATACCCTGCTGGGGTTATAACTGGATGGTGTTGTTATCCACCATAACCACCACATCAACTGACCCTACGCCTTACACCCTATATCTAAGACATGGGTGCCATTATTATAGTGCCTATTAGTGACGTGTATCACAAGCCTACCCTTTACCATGGAAGACTCCCAGAATGTCCCTGTGGACTTCCAGGCCATGATTAATGCAGCTGCCGCTGCTTCTGTGGAGAAGGTACTCTCCAAAGTGCGAGCTACAGCTCCGGATTTACCCAAATCCGCTCGCAGATATCCACGCCATGAGTCGGACTCCGATGTCTCGGACTACCATGCCAGGGAGGACTCTCGCCCAAAAAAACGCCACGAAAGAGGCGAAGACAATACACCCAAACCGACCAAGGGTAAGGCGCCTGCCAAACACAAAAAATCCTCCAAAGTTAGTACCCCGGCCCCGTGTCAGGACTACTCTTCGACGAAGATCAAGGAACTTCCCACTCCATGTCATTTCTAGACGAGTGGCAAGCAGACATTTCCGACTCAGACTATGACGCTTGGGGTTCGGATGAGAAGTCTATCTCCGCTTTCATGCGGGAGACCCTCCTGGGTGCGGCCCAGACAGGGGGTAGCGAGGACACTGCGGACACAGACCCTCCTCTTGATTCAGACACCATATTAGACCCTTCGGGTCAGGCTATGTTTGACCCCCGCAACATACGCCACCCCAGATCAGGAGACTGGTCACCACCGGAGCACCTCTCCTGGTTCATGCACCTGTGGCTCCGCAAACCTCTAGAAAAAGAGGTACACAGCCGACTTAGATCGGAATGCCCACGCCCTTCCCTGCCGGACAAAGTGGCTCAAACCCCTGAGTTCGACAAGGTTATGAAAACCTTCATGATGCGGAGCGGAAGAGACCCTCGCAGAGGGGTAGAGAAAGGACTATGGGGTGCTCAAGACAATTTGCTGGATTCCGTTGGCCCCCTGGCCCGCATCATGTACTTGGCAGACGACACCTATACCAAAGCCGATTCTTTTACTGCGTGGGCCTCCTGGTCTACTTGGTGCGTCGAAATGGGACTCCGATTCATTTACAGCGCCTATTTCCATGATTCTCAATTTTCTTTCATCCCTGTTTTCGACGGGTCGCTCCTACCGCTCTGTTAATATTGTTCGCTCGGCGATTTCGGCAGCCCACACCCCCGTCAGGGAAACCTCACGGTCAACAAAGACCCTCTCGTCTGCCGTCTGCTCCGTGGTATGCGGCTTCGCCGCCCCCCGGCTCCCAAGTACACCCACCTATGGTATGTCGGGCTGGTTCTCCGTTTTTTCTGGGATTGGCTCCCTAATGAACTTTTGTCCCTCTGACAATTATCGGCTAAATTCGCTTTCCTGCTTTGCATTGTGTCTTTTCGTCGGGTATCGGACGTACGAGCCTTCGACGTTAACGCTTTTGATGTCGCCCCTGATGGGGTCACATTTCGTATTTCCCGTCGTACCAAGTCAGATTCTACTTCGGTCTTCTACCCCTTTTTTCCCTTTTTTTACCGCAGCTTTGTGTGGTATCCACCCCCCCGCAGATACGTCACGGTTACCTCCCCACTTCGAAACTCGGCGTCGGGTCAACTCCTGGTATCCTATGTTTGCCCCCATGCTCCGGTCTCAGTCACTATGTTAGCTCGATGGATTCGCTGGATCCTCTCTCTCGCTGGTATAGACCCCTCTTTCGGTGCTTATTCCGTCCGCGGGGCGGCGGCCTCCTCAGCCTTCCTAGCGGGGGCGTCTTTGTCAGATATTCTTCGAGCGGCGGATTGGTCTAGGGAATCTACCTTTCGTACCTTTTATTTCCGCACTCCCCCTTCTGCTGGGATTATTATTATTATTATTGCCATTTATATAGCGCCAACAGATTCCGTAGCACTTTACAATATTATGAGAGGGGATTTAACTATAAATAGGACAATTACAAATAAACTTACAGGAACAATTGGTTGAAGAGGACCCTGCTCAATCGAGCTTACATTCTACAGGAGGTGGGGTGTAAAACACATTAAGACAGGAATTTGCAATCAAATAAGGTTGGCTGCCCTTTAGGAGAGGGCAAGAGACGGGTATGTGAGGTAGGGGTTAGTCTTGGAGGCCATAAGCTTTCCTAAAGAGATGGGTTTTAAGGCACTTCTTAAAAGATGCAAGACTAGGGGAGAGTCGGATGGCGGTAGGCAGGCTATTCCATAGGAAGGGAGCCGCCCGCGAGAAGTCCTGCAAGCGCGAGTTGGCCGTACGGGTGCGGACAACGGACAGGAGGTGGTCACGGGCAGAGCGGAGAGACCGAGAAGGGACATACCTGTGGATCTGTGAGGAGATATAAGAGGGGCTAGAGTTGTTCAGTGCTTTATAGGTGTGAGTTAGTGCCTTGAATTGACTCCTATAGCACACAGGAAGCCAATGTAAGGACTGGCAGAGGGGTGAGGTGTGAGAGTACCGACTAGAGAGGAAAATCAGTCTAGCAGCAGCATTCATTACAGACTGTAGGGGTGCAGTACGGCTTTTGGGAAGACCAAGCAGGAGAGGGTTACAATAATCCATGCGTGAAATTATTAGAGCATGGACAAGCTCCTTGGTAGTATCTGGTGCAAGAAAGGGGCGGATGTGGGCTATGTTTTTAAGATGGAATCTACAGGATTTGGCAACATGCTGGATGTGAGGCTCAAGGTGAGACCAGAGTCAAGTATGACGCCAAGACAGCACGCTTGCAAGGATGGGCTGATGTTGGTACCACAAACTTGAAGGGAGAGCGAAAGAGGAGGATCAGTATTAGGAGGAGGAAAGACAAGGAGCTCAATTTTTGAGAGATTGAGTTTCAGAAAGCGGGAGGACATCCAGTCAGAGATGGAAGAAAGGCAAGCAGTGACACGTTGCAGGACAGCAGGGGAGAGGTCCGGGGAGGAGAGATATAACTGGGTGTCATCAGCGTACAGGTGGTAGTGGAATCCAAATGAGGTAATAAGTTTGCCAAGAGAGGCAGTATAAAGAGAAAATAGAAGGGGACCAAGGACGGAGCCTTGGGGGACTCCAACCGAGACAGGGCGAGGGGAGGAGGTATCATTAGAAAAAGAGACACTGAATGAGCGTTGGGAGAGATAAGACGAAAACCACGAGAGGACAGAGTCACAGAGACCAAGCGATTGCAGAGTTTGAAGAAGGAGAGCATGATCAACGGTGTCAAAGGCTGCCGAGAGGTCAAGAAGAATTAGTATGGAGTAGTGGCCTTAGTAACTTTGATAAGGGCAGTCTCTGTAGAGTGGAGAGGGTGGAAGCCAGATTGAAGGGGGTCAAGGAGAAAGTTGGAATTGAGGAAATGAGACGCACGGGATATCTCTACTTCAGCGTTAAAAGTGCAAAATAGGAAGCCTGTCATGTTATAAAATTGAAGATTATGCTAGCTTTAGTGTACTAATAATCTTAATTTTAATAAGGACAGGAGGCGAGTATTTTCCCTCCCTTCTGTTCCCTCCCCTGACACCTCGGGGGGGCGGATCTCAAGGTGACGGATGTTACATGTTATGATTATATTCGTTGTTTTACTTCTTATCATACACTCGTCCTAGAGACATTGCCTTAACGTTGTCAGGACCATATTGTATCATATAATGTTTGCATCTGCTCTGTATCAATTTCTACTTGAAAGCATACTGATAAAGCTCACCTGCTTGACCAGTTATGGTTCAGTACCTAACCTATTTTATACTCTCCTTTCAGTGTAATCCTCTTCAGGACCCTGCTGGATGTTGGTTCGGGTTCCCTCACGACTCCGCTTGATTGGATAAGGACTTAGTTTACGTCTTGCTCCTAGTTTCGCTAGTCAAGAGTCTCCTCAAGTTAAGCGCTCACCAGAAGCCGCTTCTACTAGTTTTGTTTGGTTTCCTGGTCGTTTCGAGTTCAGTCAGGACTTGGATGTCGCTTAAAGAAAGAGGAAGTGTACAGGCAGCATGACCCTTATATATACTATGCTGCTCATTGATTTATTGTTACTCTTTACGTTTTCTTTACTGCTATGGAGTTTAGTAAAGAGAGTTAATGCAAAATACTCGCCTCCTGTCCTTATTAAAATTAAGATTATTAGTATACTAAAGCTAGCATAATCTTCAATTTTCATTCCTAGGCTGCTACACGGTCTCAAAGGCAACATAGGCCCATCAAACCAATCTGCAACTTTCAATGTGCAAAAAGGGGAAAGACCTATATTTGACCCCTGTAAGTTTGCAAAAACTCATAACACTTGTACATTGGGGGCACTGTTGTACTCAGGTGATGTTGCTGAACACATTACTGGGAATCTATGCCTAAAGTACAATGTGAGAGTAAAAATAACATTAAAAACTTACTACCTAAAAGTTTGACAAAGACTGGTGGTAGAATTAGTGCATTGAAAGTATTAAAAAAAACACCATTTGAAATACCCTAGGGTGTCTATGTTTCATAAATATATGGTTTTAATGGGGGTAAATTACATTGGTCGACTTCAAAAAGTCCCAAATAGGACATGGGTGCATGATAACCAGATGTGAAAATTTCAAATTGGAAAACTAGAAAGCGCACCAAATATGGTCTTTTAGTCCCCAGAGAACAGACACACCTATACATGGGTGGTATCACTGTATTCAGGAGATGTTTCTGAACACATATTGGGGTGTACTTTGGCAGTAACCAATTTTTTTAATTTTTTTATTTTTTTTATTTGGCATAGATTGGTGGTAAAATGGTTGCATGAAAAGAGTCAAAATACCCCAAGTTTAATACCTTAGGTTGTCTTCTTTTAAAAAAAATATATACATGTGAAGGGTTATTCAGATTTTATTGACAGATAGTGTTACAATGTAACGCATTCATTTTGGAAAGAAAATGGTTGGGAAATAGCAAAGTGCTACTTGTACTTATTGTCCTATAACTTGCAAAAAAAAGCTAAGAGCATGTTAACAATGGGTATTTCTAAACTCAGGACAAAATGTAAAAACTATTTATCAAGGGTGTTTTTTGGTGGTTGTAGACGCGTAACTTTGTGGGACAAAGTTAAAAAAAGTGTGGGTTTTTTTTACATTTATTCATCATCTTTTATATTTTTTTATAGTAAATTTTATGAAATAATGAAAATAATGGTATCTTTAGAAAGACCATTTAATGGTGAGAAAAACAGTATATAATATGTGTGGGTACAATAAATGAGTAAGAGGAAAATTACAGCTAAACCCAAACACAGCAGAAATGTAAAAACAGCCCTGGTACCCATATGGTAAAAAATTGAAAAGTGGTCTGGACACTAAGGGGTTAAAAGGGCATATAAAAGGTTAAAAGGGCATATAACTAGAGGTTTATCAGAGAGAAAATGGGAAGTTTACTGGATATATGTAATCTATAGCTTCATGCAACAGAAGGAGCTAAACTTTGGGCTCTTCTTAAGCATTTCAGCTGAATTTTTAGAATGATTAATTATAATCTTTTGTAATTTTGTGTTAATGAAAAATAGGAACAAGAGTAATTTCAAGTTCAAAATAGGAGATTTATCCATAAAGGAGAGAGGGAAAAAAAATTTAATTGAACCCACTGGCACCACCATCAATCATCTTTTTTGGCTGGTACCTTTTGAATGTACGGGAGATCCAGTCCACGTGATTGGGCAGACCTCTAGTCCATCATGGGAAACTGAGATGCAGAAAAACATTCCATCCCACTTTTTTTCAGGTGCCAGGAGCAGCACAAGGAATCACGACTGAAAACATGTTCATGCTCACATGAGTTGGTTTACCCAAGACTCTGCCCATTCAGAAATCCTTCCGACAATTCAGACAAATTGCAGTTCACTACAAAACAACTCAGGAAGAAACATCTAATTTAAAGCCAAATTATCTTAAATAATTATGATAAATTATTGGCTTAAGCAGGGTTTTTATTTGTTGGATTTATACTCCCACTGAACATAGATTGATTCTATATATACATAAAAATAATAAAGTAGAAAATCCAATAAATACTTTTGACTTCACATTAGAATTGTTTTTACAAAACTACCACTAGATGGTGCTCAAGTACAGAAAATTACCTTCTAACGCTAAAAAGCTTTAACAAAAGTTTGCTATTGTTGAGTATTTTGTTCTTTTGTGCCAAATATCAATTCAATTCTGTTTTAAAATATTTTGTTTGAATGTCCACACAAAAAAATTATCAAAATTTTAAATTAGTTGCATGTTTAAAGAAATGAGATCCAAGTTAAGATGAGCCACATTATTTGCAGCAACTACACGTTAGTGCTGGCTTATTGGTGGGGATGCAGGATTTTTATGCAAAGGGGGGAAGGATTAATGCAGCACGGATTGGAGTTTATAACTGTAGGTTCAAGTTATACTGCAAATGCAATCAAAGTTGTGGTGTCACAATGTAATTCATAGAACATATTTTGTTTTGTGTTGGATTTAGGGCTTGGGATAGGGCTTGCCCATTGGTCATGCCAATGAACGGTAAATGCATAAAATTGTTATACCATGCCAAAGAGAAGTAAAAAAACAAACTAGGTTTATCATGACAGTGAAAATCAAATGCATAAGCTCAGTACATCATGCCAATAAGCAGTAAATACATAACTAGGTATATTATGCCAAAACAATTGGTATATCATGCCAAAGAACATGTAATACATACAAGTGGTATATAATGCCAATGAGTCATGAGTGCCTCTAAAATGCTTGTCAGTGTCATCTGTGCCCCCAAACAATCTGACAGTACCATCTCTATGACACAAGACTCTCTTTGCCATCTCTCTGCCACCAGGCTCTCTGAGACATTTTTTTGCCCCCAGTGTCTCTGTGATATATATCTGTCTTTAGCCTCTCTGTGCCATCGCTCTGTCCCAGCAACTCGGTGCCATTGCTCTGCCCTCAGCAGCTCTGTACCATCTCTCTGCCCCCAGCAACTTGCTCAGTAAACAAACACTGCTCACAAATACACCACTGCATTAAAACTCTCTGGCTCAGAAATGCACACACACATATACACACAGACACAAAATCAGACACAGATACACATACACTGACACACAGGTACATGTGCAGGGGTTTATTTGTGTTCAGTGTTGGTGTTGGAATGCAGGAGTGTATGTGTGTTCAGTGTTAATGTTAGTGTTGTACACATTGACACACAGGTACACATATACAAACACACAGGTACACATGCACACTGACACACACATTTAGAAAAGCACACTGACACACACATAGATACAGACAAACTCATATACACACAGACCCAGGTACACATACACACATATATACACA